TATATATATATATATATATATATAAAACAAGTGTTTTTAAAAGTATTGAAAAAATTAAGACATTTTCAGTCAAGCAAAAGCTGTCTTAACAAAATAAAATATATACCTGCCTAACAAAATGCTAAGAGGGAATGCTTCAAATTAAGGAAGTTATGTTAGACAATAACTCAAAAGCCATAACAATATCAGATATTTTCAAGTAAACAACTATATGGGTAATATAAAGCTCTATATTACTATAATTTTGTCTTAGAACTCCACTTTTAATTCTTTTACAGTATTTAAAACCATTAAATAATTATGGAGGGGTTGAATTCAACTATGATACATTGTAAGAACTTTTGTAAATATCAAATGTACTCCCAGTACAACAATAAAAAAATAAAAACATCAAAATTACTATAAATCAGACTGGGGAGGTAGCTCAATGATAGAGCACTTGCTTAGCATACATAAGGCCCTGGGTTTGTTCCATAGCATCACAAAAAATAAATATAAAGTTACTATAATTTGAAGTTAGGAGTACCTTAAAGATATAGTTATGACATCAATACCACAGGAGGCAGCAGAACTCTAAAGGTATTGTTTTTGTAAATGAAGTTAATTTGCTCTATCAGTTTAAAATAATATGGAGCATACACATAAGAAATTGAGAAAGGAACCAAAGTGTGTCATTACAAAACAGAAAGGGTGGCATAAGGGAGGAAATGAGAGGCAAAAATGGGGTAAGACATACAGAAAACAATGAACAAAATGGCAACTGCAAATCCTTCCCTGTAAGTAATAAACTCCTCCCCCTCCCCGCAAAAAAGCCCCACTGATTGGAAAAATAGGATCCAACTATATGTTGTCTATAAGTGATTTACTTTAAATCTAAAGACATGCATAGACTGAAAGTAATAGGATGGAAAAAGATTCCATGTAAATGGTAAAAGAAAGCAGGAAAGGCTATGGTAAGTCAAAACTGGAAGAAAGAAGTAAATTACATAAAGGCAGAGCAGTCAATTCACCAAGAAGGTATGACAGTTTTAAATATACACACACCAGACATCAGAGTGCCTAGACATTAACACATGTAAAGGCAAAAAGCCCTGCAATACCAGTTGGAAACATCAATGTATCACTTTCAAAAATGGAGAGAAGAAAGAAACGGGGGACTTGAACAACACTACAGACCAACTGGACCCAAGAGAAATCCAAGATATCACTTCTGATAATAGCTGGATGCATTTTCCTCAAATATACATGAAATATTCTTCAGGATAGATCATGGTAGACTCTAAAAAAGCTTGGTAAGTTTAAAAAAGATATTTTGTATGATTTCAATCTTTTCAATCCATGAAATTATATTAGAAATAAAAACATATGAAAATTAACATAGTCAACTTTCCATCATTGTGACAAAACGCCTGACATAATCAACTTATAAGGAGGGAAGGTTTATTTTGGCTCACGGTTTCAGTCTGTGTCACTTGTTCCTGTTGCTTTAGGCAGGAGTGTGTGACAGAAGAGGTCTTGAGAACTCATGACAGCTGGGAAGCAAAAAGAAAGGGCTGGGGTCCAAATATCCCCTTCAAGGGTATGCCCCAGTGACCTAACCTCCTTCCACTAGGCCCCACCTAGTGGTTCTATCACCTCCCACAGACAGGCGACCAAGCCTTCAAGAAATGGGCCTTTGTAGGACACAATGTTTCAAATAAGAAATAGCAAGGGAAAGTAGAAAATCTTGAACCAAATGAGAACAAAAACAATACACCAGAACTTACAGGAAAGAGTTTAACAGTGCTAAGAGGAAAATTCACAGCTGTAAATGTTACATTAAAAGGAACAAGTCAACCAAACTTTACTTATTAAGAAGCTAGAAAAAGTAACTAAAGCCCAAAGCTAACAGAAAAGGAAAATAATTTGAGCACGGATAAATGAATTAGACAGAAAAATAGAAAATCAAATGAAACTGAGTTGTATCTTAAATCTAAGTTGTTTTTCTAGTGTTGACAGTTTACACTAAGTTGTTCACATCCCAAGTTCTCATGACTTGAATTTCCAAAATGCCTGCATAGAAATAAGCACAGTAATTAGCTGTCATGGAAACCAGTTTTTCTTTCAAATATACAATCAAATCCACAACCAACGTTAGTAAATCCTGATACACGTGATTACTCTTCCTTTTATTTTCTTCAAAATCCCTTTAAAATGCACCAAATTGGAAATGATACTCTAATAACATGCTAATTATTGGCAAGTCTGTAATTATTATTGTTCATTTAATAACTTCTATTAATAGCTCAGTTATGGCATCATTGCTGGCTTTTGAACATAGATAACCTCTATGAGACAATTCTGTAGTCACTATGTTACATACTTGACTTTGTTAAACTAATCAAGGTCAATTGTATTCCGTGTAGTTAGGTATTGTGGCTGAGCAGTCTAAGGTCATTGTACTTCTGTTGTTACTAATACAGTCCAAAATGTATCTTCTATATGTGAAATGAAAGTAATTCTTAATGTCATCATTCAACTCCTTGTGAGATTATTAAATACTGTCATAAGGGTAGAGTACTACCTTTTACCCTTCCAGGTTGACACAGATACCAAACGTTAATAGTTAATAGTCATAGAATCTACAACAGTCTCATGCACATCAGTCTTTTGAGTCTTCATTTATTCAGCACATACTTAAGGCACTGAATGCTCACCCAATGCCAAGCACTGCTAGACCCTGGAGGTATGCTGGTGAGCCTTCAATAACTATGTAATGGTACGGTCAGTACACCATGGTTCAGAACCACCAGCACCTGCAAATTCTCTGGTCTTCCTCTGATCTACTGAATGAGAAGCTCCAACGCTGGGCCAGCAATCTGTTTTAACAAGCCCTCCAGGTGATCCTGACACATTCAAGGTCAACAACTCCTGCCCAGTAAACTAGACCCTCTCTTTTTATGTATGACAAAATTGAGGCTCACAGAATATAACAGACTTGAGATACAGAACATATTTTTTTCACTGCTTATCCTCAGAACTTAGAAAAGTGACTGGCATATAATAAAGATCTTTTGCTATACTTTATTTATTTATTTATTTATTTATTGGCAATACTAGGGTTTGAATTCAAGGCCCTGTGCTTACTAGGTAGGCACGCTAACTCTTGAGCCATGCTCCCAGCCCAAGATCTTTTGGATGAAGAAATGAATGAATCATCCAAAGAGTTGTACTGTCACTCAACTATAATAACTAAAGCATATAATTTTAAGTTAATGAAAATATATGTAATACTAATAAATATTTCACAAAAGAGAAATGCTAAATCATGACATCAAGAATTATAGTATTAAAACTATCATTTTTGATGCTTGCATGAAAGAGGAAGTTAACAAAACTGAACACTATGGAAACAATTCAATCTTTGTATACCTTGTTATTTTGCCTTAATTTACTTAGCTCCAGTTTATACTTTTCTGCTTCTTCTAGAGCTCTGTTCAAGCGAACTTCTGTGGCACTTTGACTACTCGCAGCCTGTTTTAGTAGTCTTCTTTTATTTTCTGATTCCTGTGCAGTAAAAAAAGATGTGGGCATTGCTTTTTTATATTTTAATACATTGTTAAGTTCCCATATCCCTTGATTTCTCTCAAATTACACACACACACACACACACACACACACACACACAGAGCTAGAGGCTGAGCCCTAAAGTGATGGCATCTTCAGGGATTTCTGGCCCTCAGTTGGCAGTAGAAAAATATATCCTAAAAAATGTAGTTGTGAACTGGACTCTTACAACTTTTTGTTTGGAAATTTCTTCCTCTTTTTATTGATCCAAGACACTATACTTTATGAGCAACTCTTTATAGCTGTACTTCTTTTTGGGGGAACCTCCCAACAGACACATGGAAGAAAAAGTCGTGAATACTGTTTTTGGGTAGAACTGACAAAGTGTAACATTTGAGGAAATATTCATTAAATGAAGAACATTCCATATTATTACCACAGGAAAATCCCAATTCTAGCAGAAACAACCTATCTTATATGAATGATTTTTCATATCCTGCAGACTTACATTTCTGCAAATACTCTAGAATATTCTATCACAGAATCAACAGGTCAACCTCCCGAAGAAACATCAACCTACTGGAAAAATCTTGAACTCCACTATCATCTGGCACCTGTCAACCAGCCCCATCTCCTGTCACAGATGTTATTTTCACTGACTTCAGCAGTACTTGAATTTCTCCCAAAAACCACGGCATTTCCAGCCTCCAAGGCTTTCATCATGCTCTTCCTCCAGTGCTGTCCCTTTCTCTCCTCAGTCTTTCCTAGCTAGCATCTCCTCTTCCTTTCAGACTCTGCTCGGTTGCTCACCAGGGCTTTTCCTCTTCCAGGAACTTTCCCCTCTTTAACCTCGCTATATTCACCCAGGCTGGATCGGGTGCCTTTGCTTCAGAGCTTCTGTAGCACCTTCATACATGTTTATCACAGCGCCTGAGGCCTGGGACTGAAACCATATTCATTTGCTTTATTCCCCCTACTGTAAACTTATTGAGGGTGGAACTGATTTAATTTCTACATTCCCAGCATATAAAAGGCACTAATAATATCTTTATTAAACTGAAATTGTTTTGTAATACTGAACCCATGGTTCTTTATATCCTCAACAACATGGGGCTTGATTCAGCGCCTTATACAAAGCAGATACTCAATAAATATTGAATTTAAATGCACTTAAAATATAGTTGTGTTTCACACTTTTTTTTCCCTCCTGGTTATTGGTTCTCTCACTACATCATCTTTGAATACCAATTGCCGTGGCTTTGAGTAATTAAGGCGAAAAACAAAACACTTGCTGCTCTTTATGTAGGTTTCTAAACAAATCAAGCTGTGTATGGCTACCATCTGCTATCACAGCCTTCTTTGCAGCTTTGTGGGTGGTAGCTACATGAGGAGCTCATAGGATTTATCTCACTGCTCACACAGAAAAGGCAAAGATTGCTACAAAGTCCACACTTCTTGCTGCCTCATTTCAGACTCCACTCATGAGAATATGGAAATGAACCTTTGCTGGTGACTCTTTTGTAGAGCATCCTTCCCCATGTGGTACTCCGTCTTTGAATCAGTACTTCCCCCTTCTTGGGAGGCATGAAAAAAAAAGACAGCCAGGAGAATAGTAAAGTAGGAAAGTTTCTCTAGATGAACAAATCCACTAAAGAAAGGGAAAACCTAGTCCAAAATTTGAAGACATTTGTTTTCAATCAGACACAGGTATCTTTTAGTGAAACAGGACACTACTGGCATCCTTAAAACAGTCACAGTAATAAATTTGTTACTACCCCAAAAATTCAGCAACTTTACATACTGCTAGACAAAAGTTTTATGAAAAGTCAAGTCCTGAATTTTACGTTTTAATAGAAAAAAGCTAAATAGCATAAATATGTTAAACTTAACTTTTAAACTCAAATACTATTTACTTTAAGAAGAAATAATTTCCCATCCTCTCAAAATTATTACAGCATTCCTAAAAGACATGGAGTGGGAACAAAAAGCCACAACACAAAATGCAGTAAATGCTCTCAGAGTAACCCAAAGCACCATAATAATTAGGATCAGGAAAAATCAAATAAGGGTAAATAAATGATCAGACTAGGTTTCAGAAACAAGTAGCTAAATTTTAAAAAAATATAAAATAAATTTGGAGTCAGAAATCCTAGCAGCTGTGGTAGACTCAGTTTCCATTTCTGGAATTGGGAGTAATAACTATACCTAATAGTTTTCATTCATTTATCCAATGTTTATTGAGCACTTACTATGTGCTCAAGCTTTTCTTGTGTCCTAGCGGAAGAGACAGATGGTAAACATACACACACACGGTAATATAAGGACTATGAAGAAAAAGAAGGGTAAAAGGGATACAGCTATAGAGGAGGGGCACAATTATTTAACAAAGTGGTCAGAGGAAAGTTCCCAGATGAAGTAAGGGAATGAGTCACATGAAAGATCCCAGAGGGAAGAATTCCAGATACTACCAACAATATAGACAAAGACGCCAAAGCAGGAATCTACTTAGTATATTCAAAAATCGCCGCAAAGATGGTCAGTGTGGTTTCAGCTGAGTGACACAGGTAGAGTGCTGGGTTTTAAGATAGGAGAAATGGGCATGAAGAGGTAAAGATGACCAGGAGTTTGGATTTTATTCTGAGTTTCATAGTGTGTGTGTGTGTGTTTCTGATTTCAATCTTATACAGATTACTCTGGTCATAACAATGTGGTTTCCTACACAAAGTAAAATAGTAATCTAGGAGTTTATTGGAATAGTACAAGCAAAAGATCCTAGCTTGGCGATATATATATATAGCTATCAGATAGATATATCATATATATATGGCATATTTCTATACAATTGATTAATTCTATATATTTTGAGCACAGAAGTGACAAAACTCACTGATAAGTTAGATGTTTAGGGAAAGAGAAGGATCATGATGACTCTTAATTTGGGACTAAATATTGGATGACATCTTTTACTAAGAGGAGGAAATGACACAAAGAGGACAGAGAAAAGCTCCCTTTAGGATATATCAAGTTTAATACACCAATTATACATATCCAGTGGGCAAAGTCTGGAGCTCAAAAAGTATGGTCAATAAATAGAAATGTGAGGGTGATCAACATATAGATGGTATATAGAAATTGGATGTAGACAGAGAAGACATTAAGGATTGAGCCTTGGGCACTCCAACATATAAGGTCAGGAAAGGGAAGAAGAAAATTATGAGCACAGTGCTCTGGGAATCAAATAGTATATCAAAGAAGGAGTAATAAACTATGTCAAACATTGCTAAGATACAAATTGACATAAAGTCTAATAACTGATTACTAGAACTGGCGATGTGGATTACTAGTTAAGAATGATTTCCATGGCTAAGTATAGATAGAAGCACAAGTGGAATAGTTCCAGGAAGAATGACAAGTAAAGAGCAAAGGCACTGAGTACAGACAACTGTTTTAAGAAGCTTTACTGTGCGATCTCAAGAGGTCTTTAAAATCCTTCCAAAAAGGCCAGTGCTTTTTATGGTTTTGCCTACAAACTATACCATATGAATCACACCAACATATAGGTCAGTGTAACAGAACAGATTCCTAAAATGGACCCTCATATACAGTCAATCCATTTTCTACACACAGGTGACATGGTTAACCAAATGGGGAAAGAACAGTATTTTCAACAAATGCTATTCACTGCCTATACGAAAAAGACACATTTTATCTCATGCTACATACAAAATTAACTTGAAACAGATGCTACATATGATAAATATATCTACATATATACATGTAACAGGAGAAAATCCTCATGAGTTTGAAGTAGACAAAGGTTTTTAAATAGAATGGAAAAAGCATAAGCCACAAGAAAATAATACAGGGAATTCATCAAAATTTAAAACTGCCACTTTTTGAAACACGTTAAAAAATAATGTAATTATTATTTCTCCTATTCTGATAGGAGAATTACAGTAATATGCTTCTAACAAAGGGATGATATAAGAAAGTATAAAGAACTCTTACAATTCAGTATTTTTCAAATGGGCAAAGGGTTTGAATGGACATCACAGAATAGTGTATGTGAACAACCAATTAGCAAATGAAAAGATGTTCAACAATAGCTGTATTTTAGACGATTTTTTGTTAGTATCAGCAGCTAAAATAAATTAATATACATATTCACTCAGACTAATTTTCCTTTTCTGTAAACTATGTTTTGCCTGGTATCTACCACTCAAAAGATGCACCTTTCTTCCACACAAAGAGAAGGTATCAGCAGTGCTACCCTTTGAGAACACTTATCCTCTTGACAGGTTACAGAATAGAATTGATGACAAAAAAAATGAACACAAAATGAACAGTAAGTAGGATATAGAAAGAAGGTAATAACTGCTTGAACCAAGTAGTGGTAACAGGAATCAAAATGAAGAGATGAGTGAGAACATTTGGAAAAATGAACGCACATGATTGGATAGGAGGGCCAAGAACAAATGTTTCAAGACTATGTCAGACTAGAGCCATGGTGTGCCCAGAGCTGGGGGCATGGTGACAAGTGGTAGTCAGGACTGATTAAATTGTGGTAGCCTCAGATGCAACAGCTTATTATTGTAGACCAATCATCTACGTCTATTAGACCAAGAGAGGTAAAATATGAGCTACATATGCAATTTTAAATATTTTAGTAGCTACGTTAAAGAGTTTTAAAAGAATCAGGTAAAATTCACTTTAACAATGTATTTCACTTAACACAATATATTGAAAATGTTATTTCAATATGCAAAATATGATATTGAGATATAAAAATAAGAGAGTGAGACATTTTGCATTTCTCTTTTTTTGTTCTAGTCTTCAAAATCTGATGTTTATATTCACAGGACAACACAATCTAGACAAGCCACAAATGTGGGTGGTTACTGTATTGGACAGCATCAGCTTAATATGCTGGTGCTAATTATATACTATAATTAGTTTTTATTACCAGACAAGTGAGCAAATAAGCAATGGCAATGCTCACACTACTAAGCAACAGGAATGGACTGGAACATGGATACATCTCAAATGTTTTATGCTCAAGTGAAAAAATCCTCAAAGGCTGCCTCCTATGTGATTCTACTTACAAGACATTCTAAAAATGGCCAAAATTAAAACCAAAAATAGATCAGTGGTTGCCTGGACCTGAAACTAGGAAGAGAAATTGACTAAATTCACAAGGAATTTTTTGGGGTGATGAAACCATTCTATATCACGATTATGACAATAATGCATTCATTTGTCAAAACTCATAGAACTATATAATAAAAAGTAAATTTACTATATATAAAATTTTAAATCTGATTTTAAAATGTACTATAGAATATCTTCTACTTATACACAACCAAAATGATAGAAGTGGGCTCTCAATATCAACAAACTATAGACAAATGCAATGCTATAATAATGAAGGAGGTGTATTTTCTTACTATTCAAATCCCACACATACTATCTTACATAATTTTTATCATCACCAAATTTTGCAAATCAATCCTGCACAATGGAATGTTCTGTATGTTCCACTATCACAATGGTAAATTTCTACAATTTTTTAAATAAGTTTATTTACAATACATTCTTTCTTAGCTATGACACCATTTTAAAATGGACTTCAAAATTAAAAACTTTTATGTTCCAAAGGACTCCTTAAAGAAAGTGAAATAAAATCCCCACAGACCTGGAGAAATACTTGCAAATTATGTGTCTTATAAGGGATTTATCAATAGGATACAAAAGATCTGTTATTACACAATAATAATAAAATAACCAATTTAAAACATGGGCAAAGGATATGTACAGACATTTCTCTAACGCAGCTAGATAAATGGCCAGTATGCATTTGAAAAGATGTACAACATAATTAGTTACTAGAGAAATGCAAATCAAGACCTTAGTGAGGTAACTACTTCACACCAGTTGAATGACTATAATTAAAAGGATAATCTAACAGGTGTTGGGTGAGGATGTGGTAAAATTGGACCCTCATTCACTGCTGGTAGGAATAAAATGATGCAGCACATTTAGAAAACAGATGGCAGCTCCTCAAAGAGCTAAACATGGTTACATACAATCCACCAATTACTCCTTGGCATATAATCAAGAGAAATAAAAACATGAGTTCACATTAATACTCATACAGGAAGGCTCACAGCAGCGTCATTCAAAATGGCTTAACAGTAGAAACAATCCAAACGTCCACCAATTGATAAATAAATGTAATATGTGGGGGCTGGGGCTGTAGCTCATTGGCAGAGCATGTGCTTAGCATGTGGAAGGCCCTGGACTCAATTTCCATCACTTCTAAAGAAATGTGTTATATTCATAAAATGGGATATACTTACCAATAAAGAGGAATGAAATACTGATTAGTGTTGGAATGTGGATGAACCTTAAAAAAATGTTACATTAAGTCACAGAACACCACATATTGTACAAGACTATGTATATGAAATTTCCAGAATAGACAAACCCACTTAGACAGAAAAGGCTAATTGGGGGAGGCAAATTGTTGGCTAAAGGGTAGAAAGTATCCTTTTGAGGTTATGAAAGTGTACTAAAATTGATTGTGCCTATAGTTTCTTAACTGTAAATATGCTAAAAACCATTGCATTATGTACTTTAAAAAGAAAACATGGTATGTGAATTACATCTCAATAGTTATTAAAAACACTTTTCTCCATATGTAAGTATACGTAAGTGGGGTGCAATCATTGAATATATAGATGTGTAGCTTTCATAGTTTTCGTGTATCTTTGGCACTAAGTTAGGAAACAGGCAAAATTATTACCCTTTCTACAGAAGACAGCTGCTGTTGTAATCCATCACATTTTTTGTTCACTTCTTCAAAAAGAGTCTTATATTTATCTACTTGGGACTGCTGCATACTAATTGTTCGCTGCTGTCTCACACAGTCTTCTTCAAAATTTTTCACTTGAGACTTTAAATCCTGAATTTCATCCTCCTAGAGTTACAAGGTTATAGATCATGTGAAAATGTACACAAGATTTGGTATTAGGACACAAAAAAGAAGCTTCACAGTCTTTGGTGAGATATTTATACCCATAAAAGCAAAGTAAGGTGCATCGCATTTTCATCTTGAGAGACAGAAGTCAGATATTTTGTGTTTAATAGTTCCTTATATGTCTAAAACAGAATTCTGTTTCAACAACTTTTTAAAATTCTTCAGCTGTGTTTTTACAATTCTTTAGCTGTGTGATAATTCAACAACTCAGAGTAAAGTTCAGTATTTACATACAATTTTTAATTCAAAGTTTAACTGTGGAGTATATCTAAAAAAGCTATTTTTAAAAATGTAATTGAACTTGCCCTTCAAATGTCTTTGATTAGCACAGGTTTTAAAAACTGACCTTTTTATTGCATTCACACACAACACTATCCAATTCCTCCTGCATAACATGGAGTTTGGCCTTTAGAAATCTGATCTGTGCCTCTGTGGATTTAAATGATTATAATTATCATGTTTGCTGAATCAAAGACATCATCCATTGTTAAGAAAGACATTTTATGAGGGAAAAATGCTCAAAATGGTGACTCTAATAGGAGCTCCATGTTAGGGGACACTGTTAGGGGATACTAATAGGAGCTCTCTATTAGGGGACACTAATGACATTAAATATTCCTAATATAAAAATAAATGAGAAGTCTACTCAATGGAAAGCAGCAGTTACCTCATCAATGGAAAGCAGCAGTTACCTCATCAATGAAACTGAGAAAAGAAAGGGGAAGAGGGCAAAATCCTCCCAAGAAATGTAGCCACAATCCAGCCCTCACACACGTTTTCTGGTTGAATTTATACTTATCGCAGTGATGTAAAATGTAATAAGCAGAAAATTTATAGTGGTCTCAAATTGGTAATGTCCCCAAGTGTTTGATAGAAGCAAACAAATCCTCTTTAGCAAAACAAGGCTCTGAATGGTGCAAAGCAGTCTGTGCTCCCCAACAACCTCTTCATCTTTCCATCCCACCATAACTCAGCTATTCCAAGCAATCATTTGGAATAAGAGAAAATTCTCCCAGGACAGGAAAAACCTAGGCCAAAGATTACCAAAGAGGGAATTTACTGAGTGCAGAGAGGTAGTCAGCAATAAGAAACAAAAGTAGCACTTCAGGCAAGTCTGTTTGTCCCGGTTCTCTGTATCTGGAAGCAGGAACACTGTAACAGGGCCATGGGTGTCTGTGTAACAACCAACACTTGGCCATTACCTCCTTGAAGGCATCTTAAGAGACACAAAGGGCCTGGCACCAGCATCAGTGGTTTACAGCTATAATCCTAGCTACTCAGGAGGCAAAGATAAGGAGGATCGCAGTTTGAAGCCAGCATGGGCAAATAGTTTGCGAGACTCTATCTCGAAAAAAAACATCATAAAAAAGGGCTAGTGGAGTGGCTCGAGGTGTAGGCCCTGAGTTCAAGCCCCAGTACCATGGGGGGAAAAAAAGAAGAGACAGACAGAAAGGCCACTGACTTCCTGCTTCACTTCCCTTCCCTTCCCACAAAAGCCCCAGCAAGCTCATTTGGTCCATAAATGTAACAAGAGCATAAATGAATCACTCCCACTATGTCTGACTAGTATGCAAGCTCATAACACACACAGTTAGGATTTCTCACAGAATCAGAACATTTTGAAGACAAACTTTATGATTATATTACAAACTGCTAAATTCTCACATGAAGAAACTGAGAGGGGACCCGTGGCTTGCCTGGAGTCACTACTGTACTATTCTACAGTCTAGCATTAACTATGTTCATTCATACTTGATTGTCTTATTTTTTGCTTTAATAACATAGGTAGTGCCTCTTAAATTTCAACAACATTAGAAGCATTACTGGTAACTAATGTTATGCTTTTAGATGACATAAACATAGTATTTTTTCTAGCACTATGCAGATGAGTTAGTAAGATTATATTCATTAGAAGACTCAATTATTGTACCTGATGCTAGTCAATAACTTATTTATCCTATTTCGTATTTGACCTAACATGCAATAAAATATAACTAACAATAAAAAGGAATTCAGAGAACTTTTTTGTTTTAATGATAAGCTATAAGATTTTTATTTTATTTTATTTTGAGATAGGATCGTGCCTTACAGCCCAGGCTGGCTCAGAACTCATGATCCTCCTGCTCAGCCCGAGTGCTCTCATACCCAGCTGCAACGGGACGCTTTAATTTTAGCTAACAGGTATCCAATAATCCCCAAACACTAGTCTTCTTAGTTTTTGCTTTTTATAACAGAAAATATCAAATACCTACAGATATTTAAAGTAGAGAGAAGTTCCATCAACTCCCACTCACCCACCATCCGTCCTCATCAATTACTGACTCATAGTCAATTTCACTTCATCTATACTCATGCTTTCCTGCCATCACCGTATCCCACTAGCCTACTGAAACAAATCCAAATATCAGGATAAATTTCTAAGTTCAAAAACAGTTCCCAAAGATATCTGTTTCTAAGTAACTATGATATAAAGACAAAAGACAAAAAAAAGAGGGCAAAGAAAACCCACCTGTTCCAATATCTTTGCTAACACCTGAGAAAATGTCATCCTCTATGTGTTCAGGAAAGCCTTCTTCTTCAAGTTGCCCTTCAATTTTGCTAATTGTCTTTGCAAGAGAAAAGTCTGCAAAGTCCTCTGGAATGGCAACATCATTGGCCATTTGTGCATCAGAGTATTTCAATTTAACACTAAAACATAAAACACACATGCATACACACACATGAACAGAAATAGAACGGCAGAAAGGAGACAGGAATTTTACCCAAATAACAAAGCAAATAAAAATTATGATAAATTTTAAGTTTATGATGAAATCTACAGTTGATACTTTGAAGGTCTGTAATATAAGAGACTTATTAGACTTTCAATCTTTATTAATCACACAACCACAGAGCTGGAGAAGGCTTTATGAGGCCTCCAAACAAGTAGAAATTAATACTAAGTACTGAACTCGGCCTCCTATGTCAAATCTAGCTATTTTAATTTTACATGTTGATGGATAAAAGCTGTACAAATTGACATTGCCCTGGTCATAATTCTACAAACAAAGAATAATGCCCTCTGGGAAAAGAATTATAGCTGTCACTCCACGAAACTCAACATTTTTCCCACCTAAAGGAAGATATTCTAAGTTGGATCTGATGCTTTTAATTACACGGAGGAAGAAACAGAAAATAAAAGTCGCTTCCAAAGGCAGGGGAATGGGCCAGGCCTAGCACACCAACAAACTCAACACATGGGAAAGACTGCAGAATCCTATTTGGAATACCACCTTTTATTCAAAAAGTAAAGAAGACAAAAACTTTCCAGCGATACATGCATGCAGCATATATTCTTTTCTTCAACTAATTACATATTTTCTCTTCCTCTCCCTTCACTGTTTTTCTTCACTTTTGTTAAAAAGAAAACAAAAAACAAAAATGACCTGGGCCCAGTGGCTCACACCTTTAATCCTAGCTACTTCAGAGGCTGAGATCAGGAGGACTGTGGTTCAAGGCCAGCCCACGCAAACAGTTTGAGAGGCATCATCTCCAAAATTACCAGAGAAAAATGGACTGGAGGTGTGGTTCAAGTAGCAGAATGCCTGCTTTGCAAGAGCGAAATCCTGAATTCAAACCCTAGTCCCACGGGGTGGGGGGTGGGGGGGAGATGGTTTTTAAACAAGATACAGGAGTTAAAGATATTCCCAGAATTATCATGCAATTTTCAGCTTGAGTAAGTAAGAGACATATAAATTCAATAACTGGTTGGTATAACCCAATTCTTCCTTTTCTAGAAAATTTCCTATCCTAGACAGTCTCTTGGGTCCCCTTTCGTGCTTATAATATTAAGGATAGTCTTGAATTCATTCTCACAAAAAATAAAATGTGAATCATAATTATATTATAATCTAATTTATAGTATATCAGTCATTCTTATCTCAATATACACAATAATGTGTGACATTCTGTTGCTCAAGAAATAGAAGACCATTTATCTTAGTTTGAGAGAACTAGACACAGTAACCAGAACAAAAACAAAACAAAAAACACAGGCACTAAGTGGTTCACAACTGTAATTCTAGCTACTTGGGAGGCTGCGATTGGAAAGACTGTGGTTCCAGGCCAACATGAAAAGTTTGCATGACCCCATCTCAATGGGAAAAAAAACTGGGCATGGTGTTATGTGCCTGTCATTCCAGCTATGGTGGGAAGCTTAAAATAGGATCTCAGTCCAGGCCAGCCTGCGTGAAAAGCAAACTCTTATTTCCAAAGTAACAGAGCCAAAAGGACTAGAGGGGTGGCTTAAGTGGTAGGGTGCCTGCCTAATAAGTGTGAAGCCCTGAGTTCAAACCCCAGTACTGCCAAAAGGAGGCAGGGGGAAACCTGGGTTCCAATCCTAGTTCTAAAAAAAAAGAAAAATCTTACTTAAAATAACAAAATAATATGTGGCACTTTGAACATACAAAATGTACATTATCTGCTAGCCATTTCTGGGTAGAAAATGTTTTAAATTACTGAATGGGGATAAGATATATGCAGTGTAACTATATTTTGGAAGTATAAAAAGAACTGGAGAAACAAATTATAATTAAGAATGACACTACTGTGAATTATGAAACTAAAAAAGAAAGTAACAGTTTTAAAACTATACTATACCTTGAATTTGTTTTTCTTCCTTTATTTGCAGAGTGTAGTTTGTTTTGAACCTTGTTTATAGGGCCAATGTTTTTGGCCTTTGGCTACATGAAAAGAATCAAACTGTTGATTAATTAAGTCTAATCATTTGCCAAAGAAAGAAATATCTAACAAATGGAATTGCTATATTGCTACAAATAAGAATTGGTATTTTCATGTAATTAACTCAATTGTATTTTCAAGAGTCCCAGAACTGCGTACCTGGAAAAAATCTAGACATCACTTGAAGCAGAGGATTCAGCAATAAGGAAAATGAGTCCCAAAGATTCCAGGATATTAAACTAGCTATGAGAATGTATATGTGGATGTACTGACTCAGAATTTAATTCTCACTAACCAACTATTACCCAGGCTGGCCTTCCGGTATGCAGTTCTGTTGGCCTATAACTTCATGGGTGGGGAATGGCACCCCAGGATGGCAGTACTGGAAGTAAGATCTCTACACTGAATAGTTAAGAGTGGATGGCCTTTTAAACCTCCTTCTTTCCATGAGATTAAGCTTCGGAGAGAAAACTGAAAGCCTCATATTACAAACTCATTTCACTTAGGATTCTGTCAACTGTACTCCAACTACTCAGGGAAATTATGGGACAAAAATTATTTATTTTATGAGTAACACTTCATAAATGCATCCCTTCTCTGCCTTAAGTTTTATATAGTCTATGTCTACTAAGTCATACTCCTCCCTGTGTCTAAGTCTTGAAAAATCTCAAAGTTCTGCAGAAAGTACTGTACTCACAGAAAGTTTGATTTCATACCTTAATTTCTGAATGTAGATCAGTTATCCCTTCAGATGACAACAGACCTCTACAGATCAAAAATAAACATTACACATTAATAATAAATGACACTATGGCTGAGACACAATGAAATTCAGCTGTAACTATATTTTAAAAGGAAAAATATACACATTAGTTCGCCACACATTTGGCCTCTATATATTATGTATTTATATTTCCAAAATTAATTATATTTAATAAAGTATATGCATATGGAATTGTAAATGGGTGTCATTAAAAGTAATTTGGTTAAATAATTCATCCCTGAGAAGATATACTGAGTCAATATTTTTATAGGAAAATGGAGCACAAATTTTAATGAATGAAAATCATAACAAGAGATTATTGGCTATTCAGAGGGGTCATCCATTTTAAAAACATTCACCATGGGGCTTCTTACTGTAAGCACAACAATGTTACCATTCTTCTAACTCATTTAAATTCTTGGTCAGTGGTTTTTCCCATTACATCATGAACTGCATGAGGACAGGAATCACATCTGCTTTTTTGCTTGATGCATAGAATGTAGCATGATGCATGGAACATAGCATAGAAGATCACATATAAACTCTTAAATAGACATTAAATCAATATATGTTGAATGAATTAATATATCTAAATCTAATTTATTTTTATGCATACTTTATCTTGGATTTTCAATATATGTTTGTCCTGTAGTTTAAAAGGGATATTTATGGGGATGGCAAACTCAATCCATGTTTTCACTCTATAACAGTAGAGCTGAATAGTGGCAGAGACTGTCTAGCCCACAAATCCAAAAATACAGAAAAAGTTCCCCTACTCTGGATCAATTGTCTATACCATCTGTATTAATATCTCAGAAAACATACCACCATTACTATGGAAAAAAAACCCATCATATTTCCTAAGCACACCTAGCCACAGTAGATAACATGCAAAAAAATCTTTTTCCATTGGATGCAACCTACTAAATTGGTTTTTTCAATATTAAGCACAAAGAAATACTTAGACAATATTAAGTACAACCCCTTAAAGAACTACTAGAAATACCTCTTAGAAGGAAAAGAAGGCTTTCAAAATATCTTTAAATTATAGAAACTAAAGAATCATTCTCACATAACATGAAAATGCTTCCAAATATTACACAAATTGTGAAGTATCCTCTCTAATCTAATCGCTATTAAATGAATGTTTGCCATATCTTAGTACATTTTCTGCATCTTACATTTCACCACATGCCTCACCTACACACAAACACATCAGCTGAAAGACATCTCTCAGGCATTCACCTTCCTCCGGTTTCTTCACAGTGGTATTGTTTTACTGGTGTAATTCTATGCAAATGAACTTCAGCACAGTATTGTACTTACTATTGTTAAACTTCTCTGTGAAAGGTTTGTTTGTAATATGATTGAAATAATTTGGATGGTAAATCTTCCTTTCAGCAAACTGGAGATATTATTCTACAGGAAAGTAAATTCTGGTTTGCCTTTCAATATTTTCTGATGCAGTAATCCTAGGTGTTGAAGACCTATTATAAAATATATGGCTGTACATATACATATATGTGTGTGTGTGTGTATATATATATATGTATATATATATATACATATATATGTATATAATTTGTGTGGGGGGGTACTGGGGGTTTGAACTCAGGAACTTGCACTTGCTAGGCAGGTGCTCTACCACTTGAGCCACTCCATCAGCCCTTTTTGCACTGGGTTATTTTTTGAGATAGGGTCTCACTTTATGTCTGGGCCAGACTGGAACTCAATGCTCCTATTTGTGCTTCCTTGCATAGCTGTGATGACAGGCATACATCAACACACTCAGCCATTGGTTGAGATGGGGGTCTTAATGTACTTTTTGCCCAGGCTGGCCTTGAACCACAATCCTCCCCCATCTCTAACTCCCAAGTAACAAGGATTGCACACTTGAGCTACCATGTCCAGCCCCTGACTATAATTTTTTAGGTGTTATCACTGCTCCAATCTGAAATGGTTGTTCTCTACAGAATGAACTCTCATCTTTAACAGTTCCTAATGAATAATCAAATGCCAGGTTTCACAGAGGAAAGTGACCAGTACAAACAGTACCATTAAAAAAACATCCTCCTGGCAAAACAGTTTCTGCCTGGTAGCTAGGTGTTGGGGGGGGTAAGGGAGGGAGCAGGGGGGTAAGGGAAGGGCCAGGGGAAGGGGAGAGAAATGACCCAAACATTGTATGCACATATCAATGTAATAAAAAAAGAAAAAAAAAACCATCTTCCTGATCCAGGTAAAAAGGCACCATCACCACTTTACAATGAAGGAAAACTTAGTAAAAGAAAAAGGAAAACTTAGTAAAAGAAAATCAATAGATTTATTTTTATGCTTGTGAAATTGGCCTCTCACTTGCTTCAGCAGAAACAAGGTATCACCTACTGTTACCATCATTTCAAACCTTTAGTTTGCTAGAAAAAAATCATGCCTAGTCTTGGAAAATTCCAAGTTTTGGAATTTTCATTACTTAAATCTATTTTTTCCATAAAATATTTGATAATACAACATATAGTAAGACATTTCATATTATATGTACACAAATATGTGCTGTGTAAAATAATGATATAAAATACACTGTATTGATTTAGTAAAAGGAAAACTTCAAAAGCAACAGGGGGTACTAATTAACTTCTTGGAATCAGAATCAGATCTATTTAGTTACTATTGTACTGCCAGTAGCCAGACCTGGTATTTAGAACATTCATTTTCTTCAGGTTCATTGAGACAAAATTTACATATTATAAGACACACCTTTTTTTGGTATATACGTCAATAATTTTTTAACAAATCTATGTAGTTATAACCACAATAATAACCAAGATAGAGATTCTTTCCATCATTCCAAAAAGTTCCCTGTGCTCTTCCACACTTTTGCTGTATTAGCATTCATTTCCTTTTCCTGCTAGGTAGCACTCAGTCTCATAGTTTGTTTATCCATTCACCATTTCATAGATACTTAAGTTCTTTCCAGTTTTGTTCCCCTCCCTCACCAAAAAAAAACTACTCTAAACACCTGAATGCATGGTTTTTCCTAAGACAAAGATATCTTCATTTCTCTAGGATAACAATTTAGGAAAGGGATTGCTGGGTTATATGCAATAATTATTTTTGAATGAGTGACTAATGTTCCAGTAACACATTCCCTTTTTGCTTCCAAGCTCTGTAAGGCATTTAAACATTACACCCACTTAGGGCTATGCAGCTCTCATAGCCTTGATCTTAGGACACTGAGTGACTAGTCATTATAAGACTTGTACAGCCACCAACAATTTTAATCTATGCTTCAAGTTCCTTGGCTGGTGTAATTCTCTCAAAAACTAACAAGTTTCTTACCGAGTTGATTCTAGTCAGTTCTGTGTGCCATTACTATACCCACAGTTCTTTCTAAGGCAACAGTTCCTTACTGTACAGAAATCATTCACTAACTGCAGAGGATACATTCCAAGACCCTCCAGTGGATGTCTGAAGTCATGATATTATCGAACCCTATATAAACTAGGTTTTTTACCTTATAGACATAATTGTGGTGAATTTTAATTTATAAACTAGGGACAGTAAGAGATTAACAATAACTAATGAGGGAGAACGATTCTAACATACTGTAATAAAGTTGTGTGAATTGGTCGCTCTCTCAAAATACCCTATGTGTGTGATAATGTGAGATGGCACAATACCTGACATGAGATGAAGGCATTGACAGGTAAATGACAGTGGCACTGTGACATAGTCTTAGGCTACTATTGATTCTACTTGCAGGCAAGCACTGTCATACAGCAGTGATCTGATATGGGTGAAGAGTACATACAGTGTGGGCACAATGGATGACTCACATTCAAGTCAGGATGGAGTGGGACAGTATGAGATGTCATCAAACTGTTTAGAACAGTGTGCATTAAAATTTATGAATTATTTCTGGAATTTTCCACTGACAATTGAAAAAGACTTGAAATGATTATCTTTGCCTCTGCTACAGTAAGATTTTATAATTTTATTCATATAGATCCTTTACCTTTCCTGTTAAATTTATCCCTATTTTACGGTTGCCTAATTTTTCTTGTCATATTGGAAGTTCATATGAAGATTTTATATATATACACACACATATGTTGTCTTTGCTAATTTATCTGCCTATTCTTCATGTATAATTTTAAGAGATAATATGGCACATGAGAACAGACTGAGAAATCACATTAACTGTAGTTGTTTAAAACTCAATGAAGTAACACACATTTTATATGTCCTTGGGCAAACTACCAAACTTCAATAAACTACAGTTTTTAAAATGAGGACAATAGTATTTATTTTAAAATAATACTTTAAGAGTTATATGACATAAAATAGGCAAAGGGCTTGCCTCGTATCTGATGAGTAAAAACTTCAGTTACTATTTTACACATTACATTATTTTTCTTCTAATTATAGGTTTTTCATACATGTAAAAAGATTTTACATAGTAAAAGATTCACAGAGATTACTGAATTAAAAAAAAAACCAAATCAATGGTGTTTGAGAATTTAAGTCACTTACCTTGTACTATAATCACTTTCCTCTTCACACGGTCTAACTTGTGTTGAAAAGGGCCTAGATCGTACCTCTTGTTGATCTCGCTAGTTAAATGAGTAAAGATGTCATATGTAATACAAAACACACAAAACTCGAATATACTCAAGTGCCTCTCAGAACACTAATCATTTCAGAGTTGCCCATGGTTTCTATGATATCACAGCACAGAATCAAAATGCTATTGCATAAAAAAATATGATCTGTGTATTACAGTTTCACTTTTCATTTGTTGTGAGGTTAAGAAAGTCAGTCTTAAGGGGGAAATGTATGACCTTTATATAATACTTGTAACTCCTGCTTCTCCTCTATGTCTTCTGTAGCATGCAATGGAAATCAGAAAGGGGCACAAGAAATGAAAATAAGTATGTTTAATAGACAGAAAAAGAACTTGTCTCAAAGCAGGTAACACTTCAATGTTGAGAAGACCAGAAGATGCTGAAAATAAAGTACCACAAGTAAAAACTTTCAGCAAAGATTTATTAAGAAATGAAAGTGAGGGTTTGGAGCAGGTGCTCAAGTAGTAGAGCACCTGCTTTGCAAGTGTGAAGCCCTGAGTTCAAATCCCAGTCTCACCAAAAAAATAAAAAGAGAGAAATGAAGGTGACTAAACAAAATACTAACCTGGCAAAAATCATGTTCAGTTAGCATCTGTAGAAGTGAGAATGCCCCTCCCCTTTCCCAGCCCGTCTCAGTTTTTTTATTCTGCTCTTTTTGCGGGCAGTAAAAAGGTTCTATATATGAAACTGTTTAAGCAGAATACATAATGAATCTCCCATTCCACCATAATGTGGAGTACTTCTATATAAGTATTTCCTGCTGTTCGGACACTGGCCAGAATAAAAAAGTTATTTTGGTAAAATATTTTATTACAAAGGCAAATAGCAAATCTGTAACTATTATTAAATGGTTACTGAAATGTTTTATGTGTTACATTTCTTATTCCTAAACTAACAAATGAGTATGGATTTGTATGAGGCAATAAAATAAAGTACTGTTAGATTTCCTTCTCTGACTCCATTTGAGGGACAAGGGCCTGAATAAAAATCATAAAGAAATTAGGATAAAAGGGGTAAGTTTGAAAGCAGCCACTCTACTCAGCTAAGGAATTAACAATGGCGCCCTGGTGCGTGAGGAGGGACACTGAAGGCAGGAAGACCCAATTTGGGTCCAGAATAAGGAATAACATCATGCTTAGATATGTTGTCTGGAGATGTACCTCACCATTTTGCCTCACTCCTAGTCTAGCTCTAAAAATCTGAGTTGGATCCACCTGCAGAGTTTGGGAAACACATTATCATTGAATATTAGCAATGACTGCTATTATCTGTTCTACCTCTTTTACAGTCCATTCTATTTCTATCCCTACTGCACTATCAGTGTTCACTCTACACAGCCACTCTCAACTATTAATATTTTTGTACTAGAAAAGATTATTAATATTAATGTTCTTATTAACTAGATGATTTAAGCATATAAATGGAAAACACATTTTCCACTGGCTTTTAGACAACACATGTTTAACAAAGCCACATACATACTATCTATACCTACACATATTTATTCATGTTCAATTTGTGACCATTCACTGAGCAGAACATGTATGCTTTGGGTATTTTTGTATGTATGTTATACGTCAAATGAAAAAGTTAAAAATTTGGCATTTATGTGGAATAACTGTACATCTACTCACTATTACTTCCTCAGCTTGCTGAACCAGGTGAGCCGTTTTTGCCTCTAACTCCGCATTTAAACGCCTAAAAACAAAGAACCAGTAATTGGGTTATGCTGAAATTCTAACAAAAATGAAAGTAAGCTTCAGTAATAGCACTGAACCAAGAGACCTAGTCAACAAATGCCAAAACATACGCATGACATTTTTACTCTAAAATGAATGCAGCTATTAGACTTATCCCCATATCCCCACAATTGCTCCCGCCTAGTGACAGGAACTAAAACACTAAGTCCTGGCCTTTCTCCAGCCTTTCACTCAGGTCTTCAGGTGAAGTGACTTACCTGATTAATAAATTCAGGAACAATAAATTGGGCAAGTTCAGCTCAGTTCCAGGATCGTCCTACCTGCAGTGCACATAAATTCCAACCTTGCATCTCCAGAGATCTGCCCCACTCTACCTAAGGACAAGAGTGGTACGGGGTCGGGGAGACCTGCTCTGGTTGGGGTGTACTGTGTTTGGGAAGCTAGATCTGCAGTTTCATGAGCAGACTCTATGTGGCTCACAACTCAGCTTCATCAGAAATAAAGGGGATTAATTTGACTTCAACTTGCCAGTCCTCCCCACACACACACTCCCCAATCTATCTGGACTCCAGCAATGAATGGGCATATTATTTTCTTGACCCAATCAAGAATAGCTACAAAGAAATTTGTTTTAAAAGGAAAAAGTTGTTCATATCCACCAGCATCACCAGTGAATGTTAACATTCACTGTCATCTGCAGCACATGCACGATGCTGTACTGTTCTTTCACAGCACTAGAGGAGGACATGATCTTTATAATTAGCATCTCACACAGCCTCGTGGTATTCCAATGAGCTGCAGTTAGCCTAAGGTACACACCCTTCTCTACTTGAACTAGTAGTTCAAGTCCCCTTTTCACTTTCAAAGATTACACCTCTAATAAACGCCTTCAAAAGCTTGTAACTTTTTTCTCCTATTGAAAGGTTACACTTCCAAACTGTAAGGCTCTTTGGAAGTCATAAGAAGGCCTGTTAAGGAATTTGTTAGTCTTAGGTGTGTGACTCAGAAGTAATATGGCCACTTACATCTTCACCCTAAGGAAGGGGGTGAGGTGGCAACATAGCCTTTCTTAAAACATTTTGATGTTTCCTTAAACACTCTAATATTTTAAGAAATACTTTCATATGTTAGTATTACTTAAAGGAAAATATCTAAGACTTAAAATTATATTTAAGGTGATTTTCAGATTTCCTTAAGAACAATTAGGAGGACTTTTATGTAGAAGTTTCAAGCCAATTCAGTTGATGAAGATGACTGAGACTATCCTTGCACTCTAAATCCATGAAAGTGCCAGAAAAAATGTAAGGAAATACTGCTAAAGCTCAAAGTCAGGCCAGGGAAATGCCCTTGTACTAAGAATAAAGCAGCAATTCAAAATAGAGCAGTAAACAGGAACCAAAGCCAAAATAGCTTCATGTCTAGAGGCTGATGCACATGTGAGTCACGAAGGGTCAACACCTGAAAAACACACACAACAAAACTACCCAAACACCACAGGTGAGTAGAAATGCAGCTAGAGGCATGGTGGAAGATTACCTCATGAGTAACTAGAACACACACAGTAGTAGTGTCCAACATCATCTTCTCCAGATGGTTCGGGGACATTATTGCAAAACAATAGAGAATAGATGGCCTGGAACCAACAAAAACTCTAATCCATAAAGATAAATTCAAAATTACCCTGAAGGGACATTTTCTCACCTAGACTACAGAGGACTCTCTCAGAAAGCACACCCTGTTAACGATGATGTCATAAAAAGTTAACAAACCACATAAAGAAACCAACCACCAAAAAAGAACACTCACCAGATTCAAATAAAGCGGGGGAGGGGGGGGAGACTCATATTCTAAGAATTATGGGTTCTGTTTCCAGTTCTACAAAAAAATTAAAATAAGTAAAAAGAATAGAAGCCAACTACGGAAGACCCAGACATTAAAAAAGAATGTAGAATTTGGAAAAGAAACATAAATTACATAAATGAGAAACAATCACTGAAATTAAAAACAAAACTCAATGGATAGGTTGAACAATCAAATGGACAGAAGAGGGAATGAATGGGTAAGAAGAGGAAATCGTACATGAAGAGGTTAGAGAAACAAAGGGATATAAACACAAAACAGAAGTTAGCATCCATGGAGACGATTATGTGATGAAGACAGTTGTTGTCCAGCTGCTCTTTAATAAAAGTTATAGAAGGAAATCAGAGGGAATATCTATATCTGAAAAGATAATGTGGACAATTCTCCAAACTGAAAGAAGACATGGATCCCAAGCAGAATAAAGAAAACAAATCCACACTAGTACACATCATAGTGAAATTGCAGGACTTTATCTTTTTTTTGGGGGGGGGCGCAGTATTGGGGTTTGAACTCAGGGCCTCATGCTAGCTAGGCAAGGCAATCTTACCACTTGCACCACTTCACCAGCCCAAACTGCAGGACTTTAAAGATAAATAGAATATTCTTTACCCTACCAAATCATTATTTTAAAAGAACAGAAAAACAGTTTGCCAGCATAATTACCAAAAAGTTTTAGCAGATAACCCAGTAGAATCTCTAGATGTCAACAGAAAATGAAAGGGCACCTTTAATGGATGGGGTAGGAAATCTTAAATTCTATGTGCAAATAAATTGTCATTGAAGAGTAAGTGTAAAGTAACATCTCCTGGAAGTTAAGAGATTGAAAATCATATCACAGAAAGAACCAATAAAGAGTCTACATTTCAGAGAAAAAGAATAAAGAATAGATTATTAGAAAACATGTTAAATCTAAATTAACAGGATATAAAACTAACACCATTGACGAACTGGGTATGAAAAAATTCAAAGAAAGAGGTGTCATCTCACTTAATGGACAGAGAGAAACCAAGTTTAATGTCTTTCCAAACCAAAAGAAGTAAAATAAAGACAGATGAAAACTTATTCAATCCATCAGAAGAATGGACAAGAACCCAAAAAAGGAAAAGGCATGATTATAAAATGCATAAGAGTATATGAAAAATAGTGGGTAAGACACTTTCAAATTAGTAAAAACTAGTAATGGAAGTGAACTAAGTTAACTTACTGGAAGGAGACATGATCAGTTATAAGAGGAATGCTTATAAAGCTAAATGACATAGGTTGAAAATAAAGGGAAGAAAAAGACATGACAGGTACTACACAACAATGAACATAATCAAGAAGATTTAAGCAAATCAGATAATATAGCTCCTAAGCAAAAATGGCCATAGCTATAAGGAACTGTAATTATAATTGATGATACCTCTAACAGAAACAAAAAAAAAATGGTGAGGATACTGAAGTCACGAAAAATGGAATTAACTAGGTTAATCTAACACATTTGCCAACAAATAACATATTTTCTATCCAAGGATACATAGGACATTTCCAAAAATTGAACATGTACTTGGCCACAAATAAATCTTAAATATATTTTTTAAACTCAGTATTATATGCATTTCCCTAAACATAGTACCATTAAAAATCAATTTAAATAAAACAAAGCAAAACAAACTAGTGAACAAACAACCCTACATGCTTGGAAACTAAAAAACACACTTTAAATAATCACTATGAAAGTCATAAATATTTAGAATTAAATAATCACAAAAGAAATGTATATCAAAATAAGTCCTACAATACTTAAGGTGTAGCTGGAAATAAATTTATAGACTTAAATGTATTCATTTAAAAATAAGAAAAAATTAAAACAAGCTCAAGAAACTAAAAGATAGATCCACCACAATTTAGAAGAGACGATTTCTATTCACTTCTATAAAGACTAACGAAATGAAAAATAGCATAGATTCACAAAACCATAACTAGTTCTTTGAAAAGAGCAATAAAATAGACAGTCACCTGAGAAGACCGATAGAATAAGATAGAAATACACATACTGGAAAGGCTCCAAAGGCAGGGGTATATTCAGCTACAGATATAGTCAAGATTTAAAGTAAGAGTAGACACTAAATGTATGCTTGTACATTTTAAAACAAATGCTTTTCTAGAAAACCGTCAATAACATTTATTCTAGAAGCAACATATATCTAAATAGATGAATAATCATTGAAGAAACTGACTCATAAAAAAAATTCCCTTGACCCCCCCCCAAAAAAAGACAATCAATTCACAATTTTAATCACAGAACAATAATACTTGATTACAAAAAGCTTCCAAGAAGAGAAAAAAGAAAACGTTTGCTTATTTCACATGGCTAAGATAATACTGACCTGAAAATCAGAAAGGAAAACATATCACCAATCTCACTTTTACTAAGATACAAAAAAATCATAAAATTATAGCATCACATCTAGCAGTGTTTAAGGGAACACAAGAAACCTACATGAGTTGAATAAATTTGGGGGAAAATTTTTTCACAAATTTGACTTTTTTTTAACTCAAACAGTCAAATTAGGAATTAAAGTGAAAAATTTCTTTAAAACTCATTAAAAGGAAATCTACCAAAACCCTATAGTAAAACTCAAATGTAAACTGTTAAAAGTGGGCTCCTCAAAACCATAGCGAAGACACAGAAGTTCACCATTACCTTTCCTATTCCATAGTACATTGTCCTAAACAGACAAAAAAGATGAATGAGAAATTATAAAGGGACACAAGTATCATAATTTGCATATGACTGTCTTGACCAAAAATCTAAGGAATTCTACAGCATGAGTCCCTTAGCAAGGTGAAAGATCTGTCTATGTAAGATGTAGCAAAATACAGAAAAATCAGTAATGTTCTTATACAAATAACAAACTAGAAAATGTAATGGAGGACTGGAGGTGTGGCTTATGCAACAGCGAGTCTGCAAATGTAATAGAAAAAAAAAAGCCCATCATAGAAAACAAAACTATAAATCAGCTTGAAACAGTACAGATGCAAAACCCGTAGCCAACATCACACTCGATGGGGAAAAACTCAAAGCATTTCCTCTAAGATCAGGAAAAGGACAAGGATGTCTAGTTTCATCACTATAGTACTAGAAATTTTAACAAGAGCTGTTAGGCAAGAGGAAAAAAGGAATACAAAGATGAAAGGAAGAAGCAGAATTATCCCTGTCTACAGATGGTATGATTTTACATATTAAAAACCTAGGCTCCACTACAGATTAGACAACATAAATTCGTAAGTGGATAAACAAAATAAACAGCACAAAATTAGTTTTTTATACCCAAAATTAAGTTTTTCTGAGAAAGCAATAACGAAAGTGATCTCATTCATAATATACACACATCACCACCTAGTAATAAACTTAACTAAGGAAGTGAAAAACCTCTGTAATTAAAATTACACAACACTGAGGAAAAAAACTAAAAGATGAAAAGACCTCTCATGTTCATGCACCGGAAAAATTAGTATGTTAAAATGCCCATGCTACCCAAAGTGATCTATAGATTTCAATGCATCCCATCAAACCCAATGCATTCTTTCACAGAACTAGGAAAAAGAATCCTCAACTTCATATGGAAACACAATAGCCTCCACAATAGCCAAAGCCATCCTTAGCAAATTCAGGAAAGCTGGAGGCATCACAATACCTGACAGACAATATCTACCAGAGAGCTAATATCCAGAAGATACAAAGAACCAAAACAACTTAACAAAAAGTAATCCAATCAACAAATGGGCAAATGATCTGAAGAGACACTTCTCAAAAGATGAAATACGAATGGCCAGTAAATATATGAAAAATGCTCAATGTCATTAGCCATCAGGGAAACACACAGCAAAACTACAATGA